GGAAGCTATTTGGCCAGGGGTTGGAGGAGCCTAAAGTGTGCAGTGGGGAGGAGGGAAGCAAAGATAGAAACTGTGGGATGACACCTGGCAGGAGGTGACAAAAGACTGGGAATGGAAGGTCAAGGCAGGAAGATCACTTGAGTCTAGGAGTAGGAGGCTGAAGTGAGCTACGATGATACCACTGTCCTTCAGCCTGGGTTACAGGGGGAGAGCCTGTCAATCAATCAATCAATTAGTAATGTTAAAAAAGTATTTGAGTTGAATGATTAAAATCCACAAACCCAAACTTGGGTTGCCAAAATCCAGAATCTCATCAAATTCAACCAGATCCAGTCCTGGAACTTGCTCCTGTACCAATCTTCCTCATTCCAGAAAACAAAGCCAGGGTGTGATCCTCAGCGTCACTCTCTTCCTCATTCCTATCTCCAATCCATGCCCTATTCTTCTAGAAGGTTTCTTTCTCTTCCTTCCCTTTCCTTCCTTCCTTTTTTTTTTTTTTTTTGAGGCAGGGTCTTGCTCTATCACCCAGGCTGGACTGCACTCTTGTGATCATAGCTCATACTGCAGCCTTAAACTCCTGGTCTCAAGTGAGCCTCCTGAGTAGCTGGGACCACAGGTACCCACCACCACACCCTGCTGCTTTTTTTTTTTTTTTTTTTTGAGGCAGGGTCTTGCTCTATCACCTAGGCTTCTGGAGTGCAGTGGTGACATCAGAACTCACTACAGCCTCCAACCCTGGGCTCAAGAGAAGAGAAGGATCCTGCCTCAGCCTTCCAAAGTGCTAGGACTTACAATTGTGAGTCACACACCCAGCCTACTGCTTGACTTTAACCAATCACCTATCTTCTTTGCCTTGCTCTGTATACTCCTTATAAAGGGTTCCCCTTATACCACTGTGGTGCAATCCTGAACCGCTTGCAGTCTGGAGCCGCCCAATTCATAATCACTGTTTGCTTAAAAAAAACAAACAGGGCAGCACCTGTGGCTCAGTGAGTAGGGCACTGACCCCATATATCAAGGGTGGTAGGTTTGAACCTGGCCCCAGCCAAACTGCAACAACAACAAAAAATAAAAATAAAAATAAACAAACAAAAATAAATAAAAAGCAAAGAAACCTCATCTCTTTAAAATCTTAATGTTCTGGCTCGGCACCTGTGGCTCAAGTGGCTAAGGCACCAGCCACATATAC